CTTTGCGGCGCCTTGGGGCCCTCTTGGGGCTCTCTTGGGGATCCCTTGGGCCTCTTGGGAGCTATGGAGCGCCTCCAGGGGCCATCTTGGAGACCATCGATCAAAGGAGGGGGGATCCTAAATTTCCCTCCCCCCTCCGGGGCCATCGAAATAGCCTCTTGGGGCCCGTTTGGGGCGATCTTGGGCGCTCCTGGGGCCGTCTTGGGGGCATATTGGGCCCCCCTCTGAACTTTCTTGGGCCATCTTAGGGCCACCTTGACGCCTCAAAAAAGCATCGGAAGCGAGAAGGCGAGAAGGCAAAAATCAATGATTTGCCTTAGGTGTTTGAAGGATTGTGGTTTCTCGGGGAGGTCCTGAGGGGTGTCCAAAAGCATTTGGATTGTGGCACTCTTGGGGCCTCTTGGAGGTATGCTGTTAGCTATCTTGAGCCATGTTGGGCTATCTCGGGCGATCTTGGAGGCCACCTTGGGCTCTCTGAGGCCCTCTGGGAGCCATCTCAGGCTATCTTGGACGCCCTGACCGCTCTCGAACCCCCCCGTCCAGGTCCAGGGGAGAGGGTAGGGGGAAGAACGGGTTGTGAAGGAGGAAAGGAAGGCATCGTTAGACCACCTGTCGCCCAGAGGGCTGGTGGGATTTGACGATCCTCAACGCAACGCGTGGCGGCCTTATCATGGAACACCTGGGTGAACAGGGCCGGGTACATCAGCGCCGCCATTTCTGGACTCCCGAAGTGTTCTAGCGAGCGATTGCGCGCATCAGAGGCCCTGGCGGCAGACTCGCTGCCGGGCGCCTCAACAGCAGGCAGAACGCAGCGCTGTCGGCGCCTTTGCCCACACGCCCCCGACGCCCTCAGGGGCTCGAACGCAGCAGCATTATGTCTTGCCGACCACGCGTCAGACATGTTTTCGGCAATTGTCGCAATATGATCCCAGATCTTTCTGTCTGCCACAACTGGGGACTGCCGTCACCGCGTCCTCTGAAACCCCCGCCCCCCAAAAAACGGCGGGAAACCAAAGGCCAGCCTGCGGCCTCATCGTATACACCCGACAGCGAAACAATAGCATGCTGAAAGAGAGGGAGAGAGAGATAGAAACCAAAAATACGGTACCGGAGAAAAAAAACAATCATAATCTTTTTAGGGCTGTAGGGCTACAGGGCTATATGGGCTCTTGGGCGCTATATGGGCCATATGGCTATATGGGCTATTGGGCTATTGGGCTATAGGGCACCCCCGGGCACGCCCGGGCACGCCCAGGCACCCGGGCGTGCGGCGAAAATCGGCGGCAAACCTAACCTAACCATATGAATCCGCTAGGACCCCTACAGAGGCAAGCTCTGATTGGGGAAATAAGACGAGGACGCCGCAACATCAGCACGTGAGGACAATTCATGAATGAGGAAAGCCGTGCAATGTTTCTGGCGACCTTTTTGACATTCTGCCAGCCCCTGAAGCGAGATGCTGGCATGGCGCAGGAACGACGGGGCACTCTTGAAATTCGACGGCATCCGTGCGTTTCACCTTGCGCGCAGCTCCCCAGGCAAGAAGACACCCGCCTCACGCTGGCCTGTGAAAGTTGTCTACCTTGAACAAGCATATGGGGGGCTCGGTGCCATGACTGGGCCCAGCTGGCCGCCCGCCAGCACATCGTCCTCCTCATCCTCCTCCTCCCCCTCCTCCTCTTCCTCCTCCTCCTCCTCCTCCCTCCTCCTCCTCCTCCTCCTCCTCCTCCTCCTCCTCCTCCTCCTCCTCCCCCCCCCCCCTCGGCGCAAGAGGGGCGCCGCTCGCCAAGCGGAGACACGTCGCAGAGCTCGCCGCGAGGCGTGCAGGTGCCTGGGCCTGTCCCTTAGCGCGTCGGGCGCGGGCCTGGCACGGTCTTCACGCTGCCTGCCGGGCGTCTCTTCTGCACTCGGCGCCCAGAAAATCCAGAACGACGCCCTGCTTGCATCTGTGCGCTCGGGCCATCTTTGCACCCGGGGCATCTTGGCACTCGGGGCCCAACTGTCGGCCGGCCATCTCTGCCCGAAGCGGCGCAGTCCAGAGAGGTGGCCCACCCCATCTCCCCGCAGGCCCGACCGGCTGCGACCGCACCGAGCAAGCCGCGCCGCTCGCGTCCGTGAGAAGAGACGCAAGTGGCGCACGCTGCTCGGCAAGCCTCGGGTGGGACGCCAGTGTCTGCCACCGATGTGAGATCTCGGCAGGGCCGTGCTCTGAGTGAGGCGCATGTGGCACGCAGGAAGTGAACAACGGGTCTCCCACCGCCGAGCCCAGCTGCGAGCACGGTAGGCAGGGCAATCAGTACCACGGTGATGTTGCTGCTAGAACAAGGGCTCCCACGAGGGCGCGAAGTTATTCGCGCTTCGCGCTTCGCGGTCCTCGTTCCTTCTCCCCTTCCTCCTCGTCCTCCTTTTCTCCCTTTGGGGGGGCGGCGCGAGGGCGCGAAGTTATTCGCGCTTCGCGCTTCGCGGAGCGCGAAGCGCGAAGTTGGGAGCTCTTAGAAGCACAGTCCGAGAGGGTTGCTAAGAATGGGAAAGACCTGTGCAACCACAGACAACAGCCGTGAGATTCCTGAGGTGCCCCAGGGCCACTGAGCGCCACTTCATACCAAACACGTGCCCAACCTTTCTGTGGGATACGCGATTTAGCGGCGACTGATACATGTAATCGTTGCTGAGCAAATTGAACTGCCAGGAGCATCGGACGCCCCGAAGCGAACAACCCTACCTGACGCACTCTGCTTTTCTTGGTGGCATGAAGCGACAGAGTATTGGCGAATCGATTCCGAACTTGAGCTGAGCGCCCAGCTCTGACTTGTCCAAACCCGCTGAAGTGAGTAAAGAAAGGTCGCGCTCGCTACACTCATGGGGAGGCATGTACTTGAGAGAAGCAAGTGCGGTCAAGGAGTCCACTAGCTCGTTGAAGGGTTATCCTCATGACTGCGAACGCGCAGAAAAAATGCTTCTCCGTGGCAGCAGACTTGACATGGGCGCGCAGAGCAACTGCGCATCCGCGAACGTATAACACATTGGCCTCTCCTGGGGCACCTTTGACCACGGTGGGACTGTCAATGGAGAACTCACCTGGCACACCTGCAGATGGCAGTCGGCCAGCACTTGGGGCCGGCTTCAACGCGTGTTGGCCTCGTGATGGCATAGATGGGGTGCCCACGCTCGTCCGCAGCACACAGGCGCGATCTGGTGGGAGCGGGCGGCGCGCGCGTCTCTCCGCCAAGACCTCTGCACGCGGAGCAGCCGGAGCAGATGCCCATCCAGACGCCGCTCCAGCCGCGCTCCCGCGCTGGCAAGGAGATCTCGCCTTCTCTCTCTCGGTGCCTGTGAGGAGGAAGCTGCCCGCCATCTAGCTGCGCGGTCGCAAGGGCAGCTACAGCTGGAGACGCAGCCGATGCAGCTCCGTCTGCGGGGAGAGCCTCGCCGACTGGCCTTGTCGCGACGGCGACAAGTGGCTTGCGGCGGGCGGAAACATTCGAAAGCTGCGATGACAAGTTGGCAACCGCATAACCGATCCTCTGCTGGCAGGTGCACCTGGTACTGATGGACACGAGTTACTGCTCAAGGACCGCCATGCCCGGCACTTGCACTAGTGCCGTCTGTTGAATTGGCCACTGCGCCGCACGTCGCTGATGCGGCGGTGGCGTGGCGCACGGCCTGGTGGCGGCGAGCGGGCTTGCGCCAAAGCCCTCTGTGGGGCCTGGCGTGGTTCTGCTCCAACCCCCATATCGGCCATAGTATCTGCGCCGTCCGCATCCTCCTCTGCATCTGCATGCTCGCCCTGGCCTGGCACGTCGTATGATGGCGGGAGCGCCTGCAACTGAGCCAATGCCTCTGCATGCCTCTCCACTCATCGGGATGCCAACGCCGCATCCTTTTGCTGAGTGACCGACCCCATGTCCTTGTGCCTGGCATGAGCACGTACCGATGCGGAATATTGCCGATCTTGTTGTTCCTGAAACTCCTGAAAGGGTGTGCAGAGATGGATGGAAGTAATAATGACCACAAACTACTATCGTTCCTCCTCCGCCGAGTCCCCGTGATCTTCCTTTATCCGAATTGTGGTTGACAATAGTTTGAGGTCCAAGTGTCGCTTGTGCACGCACGAAGAATATTATGTGTTGTATGCATATTCTGGGAGCTCTCTTGAAAATTCGATGATGATATCGGATTATCTCTGGCAGGGCTGGAATAATGTTGAGTGCTTATTCTACTGCTGATTCTTCTCCTTCGTCCTTCTGCGACGTGAAGCTGGTTGAAGTGGCTGGCGACTGAGAAGGACGACCCGTTTGACGAGCACCTTGCTGCTCCTGCTTCTCCGACTCTTGCTTGATCCAAGGAGCCCGTGGAAACGAGGTGTTATTTCTGCTGCTTGCTTTTGCCACTCCCTCCTTGGGCCTGCACATGATGACAGACCCACAGGATGAACGCGAAGAAAGGCTTGCCACCACACATTGAATTCACGTTCAGTTGTCCACGAATCCTGCTGAGCTGAGTGATGCGACGCCAGTCCCTCCTTCGCCTGAGCAGGTCGTACCAGGAGCCTGTCGTCAACGCGTCTCTGCCTCTGCCTGCAGTGCCACGCAGGCTCCGAGGCGTGGCCGGCCCTTCTCGGCCGGCACGCCAAGGTCCGCAAGGGGGAGCGTCCAACCGTGGCATGCAGAGGGGACCACCCCCGCTTCCTTTCGGGCCGAACGAAGGGGGGGGACGGAGTAAGGGGGGGAGGAGGAGGAGGAGGAGGAGGAGGAGGAGGAGGAGGAGGAGGAGGAGGAGGCGGAGGAGGAAGAGAAGGATGAGGCAGCATGAGGAGCAGGAGCAGCAAGGGAAGAGCAGGCAGAGGAGCAGGAGGAAGGGCAGCAGCATCATCAGCATGGGCTGGACGGGAGGAGGAGCAGTGGGGCGAGGAGGAGCAGCACCAGCAGGAGAGAGCGAGGTGGATGGTCAGGAGGAAAAGGGATGAACGAACCCTGGAGCCAACCCTTTTCACGAGACAGGCGTCATCGGCAACTGGCTCCGGGGCATGCTGACGGGCGGCAGCGGTCGCTAGCGACATTGCGGCACGCAACCGCGCCGCTTCAGCATGCTGATATTGCTAGCGTTGCTCCTCCGATCCCCCCACGTCCCGCCCCGACCCAGCTCCGTCACAGTCGTGATGTCGAAACAAGCAGCATTTTGATTTCGGAAGGAGCTCGGTGTACCACGGCGCTTTCTTTCCGTAGGACCCGGTAGGAAATGTAAGCTTGGTTTCATGTGATCTTGTTGTCATGGTTCAAGAACGGTGAGAATGTGCGAGGGAGAGGATACGCACAGGCAAAGATGTCGAGTGGCGGCAGCTCAGCCCCGTGCGGTGGTCGTTGACCACAGTCTCCACACAAGCCTTCTGGAGGTCCCTGTCTGGGTGCTCTTGGAAGCCTCTTGGGGGCACATTGGACGTCTCTCGGGTGAATCTGCGGACCTCTCCGGCGTCCCTTGCGGGCATGATCGCATTCTCGAGGAGCCATACTGGGGCGGATGTCAGTTTGACTTCCCTCCCCCCCTTTACATCCCTCTTGTGACGTCTTGGGTGCTTGGGGGACAGATTGGGGGCAATACTGGGGGCATGCTGGGCCGCTTTGGACGCTCTTAAGGCCGTCTTGGGGCCCTTTGGGGGCGCTTTAGGGCTGTCTTCTCTAGGGCCGAGGTGGGGACTTAGGCAGGCTTGGATCCTTCGTGGCCCATCTTGGGGGCCTTTGGGCCGTCTTGGAAGTACTTGGGGCCGACTTCGGCTGTCTTAAACCCGGAAAGGCGACAACGCTGAAATCGTTCCAAAACCGTTGGGTTATCAATGATGTGGACCGCTTCGGGCCCTCCTGGAAGGCCTCTTGGAGCCCTTTTTGGCCGTTTTGGGCACAGGTTGGGCCGTCCTGAGCAGTCTTGGAGCATCTTGCGGCCATGTTGAGCCGTCCTGGAGGCATCTCGGGCGAACTCGGAGGTTTCTTGGTCCCTCTTGGGCCGTCTTTGAAACCATGTGGGACCGTCTTGGGCCAACTTGACGGCCATCTTGACCGTCTTGGAGGCCATCTCGAGCGGGAAAGCCGTTGGGAGAAGAATTCGGGAAATGTTCCAGGTGGCAGGTGGGATCGGCCGAGACCAAATTGGGGATTGCTAGTATAATATTATTCATCCGAATGATAATCATAATCATACGAATAATGGTGATAATAATAATAGTAATAATAATACGAATGATGATGGTAATACTATTAATCATAATAAAAATGGTAATAAGAAAAAGAATGAACAAAAGTTCACACGTAGAATATCCCTTTGGGGAGCTCCTGGTGGTATCTTAGGGTCTCCTCTCAGGCCTCTGGGAAGGTCTTGGGGCCGTTGGGGCGGAGGCCTCGAAACTTCACTTCGTGTTCCCCCTCCTGGGGCCGCCTTGGCGCCTGTTGGGGGCCTCCTAGGCAATACTGAGGGCATCTTGGGCCGTCTTGGAGTATTGGAAGCCCGACCACGCGAGAGAATGCCGAGCTCGTGTTCAGAAGTGGCACTGGCGAGTGTCATGCCGACAGACCTCCACCATGCATGCAACGCTGATTGAACTGAATTGTAGAATGCGACGTTATTCTGAGTGGGACTGCCTGTCCGTTGTCGCCAACATCACGATCATTATATGCGCGGCGCCAGCGTCAGCTATTCGCCTCGACCTCGTTCCCCTGTAGCTTGCTATGCATATGTGGACTAGGTGTGCTGCGCGATGTGCAGGCACAATTGAATTTTCAAGTAGTCAACGTGGGTTTCAATTTTAGCTGGCGCAGCTTCCACATGCACACCGTGCTCCCAGGCCGACCTTTTTTCACATCACGATTCGCACCCCCAAGTTTGCCACAGCAGCTCCTTTTCCTCGACTTGCTCTCAAGCCATTCCATTGCACGAGGTTTCTGGTGTTGCTCGTCGCGATTGTCCAACCGCATGCGGACGTCTCATGATATGGCGGCAGCTCAACCTGGTGTCCGGACGGAGGAACCGCTCATGGATTGCAGACGATTTGGGACAGCACGTCTCGGCCCCAGTTTTTCTCATTCCTCTGCCCTCGTGGCCTGCAGTGCAGATTTCTCACACCGTGCTGCTCTTTTTGGGGGGCCCCGGCCTTGCCACGCAGTACAGGCGTGGCCTTCGCCGCCGTGGCCGCTCCGCGGAGTCGAGTCCTTGCGCGGTGCGGGAGCTCACAGCTCGGCAGGAAAAGAGCGACGGTGAAGGCACGGCAGCTTCCTTCCCGCGGGGGCACCAGAGGATCGCACTCTGTGAGAGCTTCGGGGCGACCACTGTGGGGCATGTCGCAACACTCTCTCAAGCTCGGGTGTGGCCCCACCGAGAGTGGATTCTCCCCCGCTGGCGAAGATGAGCACATGTGTCCGAATCTCTATTTGTCCGACAGTACTTGTTTGAATGTCATGCGTGGTAGTGGCGTGGGTTGATTGCCCGCCCCTTCAAAATACGCATATGCGCATGTTATTGGTATTTGGTGCTAGCACCGAGGGATATGATGTAAAAGCCAACCGCCTTGTCGAGTCGTTTCATCGCCGTTATCTCGCTCTCTCTATCTCTCTTTCTTTCTCTCTCTTTCTCTCTCTCTCTTTCTCCCTCTCTCTCTCTATATATATATATGTATATCCGTGTTCTCTCTCTCTCTCTGTCCATCCCTCTCTCTCTCTCTGTGTAGATGCCTCTCTCTCTCTTGTGCCGTCTCTCTCTCCCTTTCTCTCTCTCTCTCTCTATGTGTATGTGTCTCCGTCTCTCTCTGTCTCTTTCTCTCTCTCTCTCTCTCTTTCTCTCTATCGATCTCTTTCTGAGGGCGTCACTTGTTTCATCAGTTACGTTCCGTGGTGGTACTGCACTCCTGCATCACGACAGGCTGGTTTTCATGTTATATATATATATACACACCTGTTTCGCTTCGCGGTTGCCTCTACCTTTACCTCGAGCGGATGGACAGGTTGCTTCATAAGGAGTCCCGCCGTCGTTGAGCGAGGCCCTGCCGTGCCCCAACCTGCGCGGTGCCGATGGTCAGAGGAGCCGCGGCGGTCCCGCGAGGCGCGAGGAGTGCAGAAGCTTCTAAGGGCGTCCGTCGTACAGTCAATCCGTATTGTAAGGATGCGCGATAAGGATGCAAAGGCCTTGGACGTCCATGTCGAAGCTTTTCGAACGAGCCTGGCCAGCGGACGGGCGGAAGTCGGTAAGGGACGAGGATACACGGGTAGCCTTAGCAAGGTTGTTCATCCTTGCTGTGCGGGCTGGCTGTACAGAAGCTTCTGAAGGCCCAGACGGCACGATGTGAAGCTGCCCGCCGAGTTCGTGGGGAAGTTCTTTCTCCCCGTTCGGAGGAGTCCTCTTTCGGGGGCGGCCAAGAGGGGGGTGATGACTAGGGGGGGGTCATGGCGTGGGCCATGATATTTCCTCAGATGTCATGGCGCCTCTTCGTATTTCATCGCGTTCCTGGCTTCCCCCATTGGGCCGCGCACGTGCCGCCGGCCATGATTTGCGCTCCCCCGCTCTTGGACGCCCCCTCTTGGCCGCCCCCGATTCCTCCTCCTCGCCCAAACATGGTCTCCAGAAGCTATGCCGACTTGGAGCTGCAGTGGAAGGAGAGGTAGGTTGGATCGGGCCAGTCACCGGACAGCTTCTGATCTGCAGCGGTCCAAAAAGTACGTGATCTAAGACTACATGTCGACTATGTGTTCGTGCGCCACGTCTCGCACAAGCGACATCTGAGCATGGTTGTGGGTCTCAAGTTTGTTCGTGGACCGCTAGGTGTCTCGATGTCTCCACTCCATCCATGAACCGTGTATGGATCGTGGATCCGGGTTGTTTTCTTGGGGGGTCTTGGGGGGCATCGTATGAGTTCGTGTGAGCAGTGTTGGGGCCGTCTTGGGTTTCTCTTGGGTTGTCTTGTGCCCTTTGGGGTAAATTTGAGAACGTCCAGGGCCGAGTTGGGCTTCCTTTCTCTTTCCTGGCCTCGTCCTCCTCTTCCTCCTCCTCATCCTCCTCTTCTATGGCAGATGCCCTCTATCGCTCGAGCGTCTACGATATTAGCCCTCATAGACTACGATCGGCCCACCTCCCTGCCCAGGCTGCCCTCCTTCATCCCGCTCCTGCAGAGGAAAAGTGATCGGTTTCTGAGTGCTGCACGGCCCTGAGCGCGCGGTGCACCGTGTCCAAGCGAGTCAAGCATTTCACGAAAACCTTTCCGACCGACAGCCAGGTAGATAGATGTCTGACATTACTTCGGAGGCTCGCCCACCATGCCCCGACGTTTATTTTTGCCTATTCGCTCCGTTTTGTGTGCAATGGTTGGTGCACGTCTAGGCGTTCCCGGGACCCCACACAAAGGTGCAGGTGGTGCAATTTCGCTGTCGCTGGGGATGCCGCGTGTGCTGTCCAGCGTGTTCTTGTCTTCCCCCTCGGGCCCCTCCCCGTTCCCGCTAGTCTGTCTGTTGGCCCTGCTCATGACCTTGCCTACTCTGTGGGGGAAAAAACACACTGTGGGAAAAAAACACTGTGTGTTTTGTGCTTGTTCGTTGATTGTGTGTCGTGCTTGTTGTTGTTTGATGCTGTCGTCTGTTGTGTTTGTTTGCGTTTTTTTTTGTTATGTTTATTGCTTTTGTGTTTTGATGTGTTGTCTGTTGTGTCTTTGAGTTTTTTCCACACGTGTCCTGTGCCGGCCCGAGAGCGGCCCCGCCTTCCCGCCGAGCCCAGAGAGCCGCCGGCGGAGCCCGCACGGGAGGGGCGGCGCGACGAGGAGGCCCGCTCCTCGCCGGCCGTCTGCGGCCAGCTGCTCCCGCCCCCACGCCCGCGCCACCGCCGCGCGGACCCGACTCGTTCGTCCCGCCGCTGTCGGTCGTCCCTGGGCCCGCTCGCTCCTCCTCCTCCTCCTCCTCCTCTGCTCCATCCTCCTCCATCCTCCTCCTCCTCCTCCTCCTCCTCTCCTCCTTCTCCTCCTCCTCCTCCTCCTCCGCCTCCGCCTTCTCCTCCTCCTCCTCCCCCTCCACCTCCTCCATTCCTTTACCGCATGAATAAGTTGACCCTGTCCGTCCCGAGGCCGGTCGGAAGGGCGGGCCATGCGCTGTTTCGCCCGAGACCCCTTTTGCCACTTTTGAGCCTCAAGCCAAGAAGCTGACAGCATCTTCACAGATGGAGGGTTGGTCGCTTTCAAAATGCGGTTATTGCGTTAGCGCCGCGCACGTTCATTGTCAAACTAATACAAATGTTGCGGATTGACGACCCGTAGTTTTCTAAATGTGGCTCTCGAATTAGCGCCGCGCACGTTCGTTTTAACAAGTTGTCAGAGCTCCACGGATTGGGTGCGGATTGTTTTCAAAATGCGGCCTCGTCTTGGCGCCGCGCACAGTCGCCATGCAAATTTACAAGAGCTCCACGGTTTCAGAGCGGCTCCTTTTCAAAATGTGGTTCTCGTTTTAGCGCCGCGCACATGTGGTTTGAATCATCTTCTTTTCAAAATGTGGTTCGCGTTTTAGCACCGCGTTGTTGTGGAACCATTCCGGGTTGTTAGTTCGCAACCGTCACGTTGAATCGCGGCGTCGAAGTCCCAGGATGGGTGTTCTGCAACGAGTCAGGATCGTCACGATGCAACAGTCAGGTGGGTTCGTTGCGTTGACGTCCTGAAAATGGTGTTTTGGCACGGTTCCAAGTTTCCACACGGTTGTCCCCCAGCGGAGCACTTCCTTCAGTGAAAATGAATCTTTGTAGGGCCCGATGACAGGAGTTTGGAGGGAGGGTAAATTCCAACATCGTCGATGAGTTTTGGGTTCGCTCGGGAAGGAGCTTGGAGGGAGGGTAGATTCCAACATCGTTGATGAGTCTTGGGTTTACTCGGGTCCTCATCCTCCTCCTCCACCTCCTCCACCTCCTCCTCCTCCTCCCCGATAGTGTTCCTCCTCCTCCTATTCCTCCTCCTCCTCCTCCTCCTTCTCCTCCTCCTTCTCCTCCTCCTTCTCCTCCTCCTCCTCCTCCTCCTCGTCTCCTCCTCCTCTTCCCCTTCATGATTTCACCCCTCTTCCCTCAATCGTTCTCCCCCGGCCGCCCTCCTTCCCTCTTCCCCCATCTCTCCTCCCACCCGCTTCCCTGCCCGCCCCTCTCCCCCCCCCGTGCCTGTTCCCCCCCTTCCTCCCCCATCCCACTCTCCCCCCCTGGACAATTACACACACTATGAATACTAGCCTCCCCTCCCCCCCCGAAGATGACCTGAGAGCGACGCCCGCTTCGGCGCAATGTTGTTACACCGGATTGGTCTGAGTTCATGTTTTTTTTTTGTGCGCACAAATCCTGGCGCTTGCACTCGCCTCGCACGGCCCTGGGGGGGGGGAGGAGGAAGCCTCCCCCAGGAGCGGAGGGTGCGGACCCGACCCATCTGCCCCGCAGCGCGCGGCCTCTCCGAGGCCAAGCGGGCAGACGCCGGTCGGGCCCGTGGGGGAGCACCACCCCCCCCCCACACCCCCAGGGCGGGTAGGGCGGGCCAACGACAGCTCGTGGTCACTATGGACCAGAAGAGAGGGCCCCATTGGGCACGTGAACGCAGCAGACCGCTATGGGCCGCAACGAAGCCACTATGGGCCGCAAGGAAGCCACTATGGGCCGAGCGAAGCCCCCAGAGGGCGGAGGGCCGAAACCCGACACACGGCACGGTATTTATATCCCGCCCCAGTGCCAGGCGGAGGAAGCACGGCACGGCACTGCACCACACGACGCGAGCGGGAGGCGGAAGAGGGTCGACCAGCGCGCGGCCGACCAGCCGAGCGAGGGCGCCCCCGCGGCCAGCCGCGGGGTCGTTCACAGCGCGGGCGGATT